GCATACAACATTTTGCTCAATTAAAACCATTGCTTCCTTACATAACTACACATTCCCTAGTTTTATACTTTTCAACATAGAAGTTCTTGAAAATATTATAAATTTGATTAAAACTTTTGAACATTCACTTCGACAAATCTGTCTCATAAAAGAACAGGACTTCAACAAACAAATCACTGAAAATATCAAAAAATGTTGTAATAACATGAAAGACAATCTCTCAAGTATGCTCTCATCAATTCTTGAAAAACCTTACAGACATATTGACCTTAACAAAATCTTGATTACTCCACCTGATGAATCTCAACATATATCCTCAGATCCAGACACTGTGAAATCTCATACAAGAATTCACTTCTCAAATATTTCTAGCACAGCAAATAATCCACCTCCTAATAACTTATGGAATGAGTGGGCTCATGTCTATCAACCCCTAAACTACATCAAACCTGAATGGTATGACTCCATACTATCACCTATTACAAAAACTGAATTACTAAATAACATATCAGAACTCCCTTTAAAAAAAGGTGCTGGACCATCATCAATCTCAAATGAAATGCTAAAACATCTGAATCCAGATACCATAGAAATTTTGCTTTCACTATTCAACAGATGCATATCCACATCTGATATTCCATCAGCTTGGAAACATGCCAATGTTTATCCCATACCAAATCCCAAAGAATGGCACAATCAACTCACACACACTCATCCTATTACATTATTAGAATGCACTTGTAAATGCTTCTATAAAATCATCACAAATAGACTATCATCAACCATCCCATCCTAAAAGAAAATAATTTTGCTGGCTTACCAGGAAAATCATGTCAAGAACCAATCCACATTATTAATGCAATTTCTGAGAATGCATGGGAATCTAAAAAAGAATGCTGGATTCTCTCACAAGATATGAGTAAAGCTTTTGACCTAATCAATAGAAGTATGTTAGATAAAGCCATGGCACATTTCCATTTCCCTCAAAAACTAAGGAAAATATTTCTCACTGTATTTCAAGATAGAGCAAATCAAGTCATCACAGACTATGTGCTAACTGACCCTTATCAATTGAGTAATGGAGTTGATCAAGGTGAAGTTTTCTCTCCATTAATGTGGTGCATATATTATGATCCTTTACTATGTCATATTCAATCCAAATCAGAATTAGGATACACCATCAATACTACTTTACCATCTAATTTAACAGTTAGTTCATACACCACCAACGCTGAATCTGTCACAATTACAAATGTTGCATACATGGATGATACTACATGGATTGCATCATCAAAAGAAAAAATGTACAAAATTCTATCAATTGCTTCTTCTTTCTACCAATTAAATGCCATTAAAGTAAATCCTGACAAATCAACATTGATGGTCATTAATTCATCAGGAAATGACAATGAAACAAATGCAACATTCAATAACATATCAATTCATTCCACTCCCACAAATACTCCAGTTAGAATTCTGGGAGTATGGTTCAATACTTCTGGCTCACAAAAACACCATATTTCCTCTTTCAAAAATGCAATCAACACCTTCAAATCATTACTTTACCCCAAAAATTAATAGGAGAACAAATCAAATATATAATAAATCATGTCCTTGCATCTAAACTAGAATACAGGTATCAAACTACTTTCTTCTCTAAAAAAGAATGTAAACAACTACTTTCCCCTATCACAAAACTATTTAAAAACAAACTAGGTCTATCTCAAGCATTTCCAAACTCTGCTATTTATCATCCACAATTTTACAATCTATTTGACTATTGGCAACTACAATGTCAATCAATGATTACAAACTTCATTGTTCGTATTAATGATCCATCACTCATAGGTAAAATAACATATATGCAACTAAAACAACTTCAATCTACATTATGGATCCCTTTCTGCCCATTATTGATGACACAAGCACTTCCTACAAAATTAAACAACAAAAATATTACAACCGCCTGTGTCACATTAATGATTTCTTCTCATATATTATGCCAACTTTCATCTTCTTTCATCTTCTCTTTTAACATCAAAGGTGGCAATGTCCCATTAATAAACATTATACAAAATCAATATTTCAAGATAATACCTTTACTCAAAAAATACTCTATTTTTCTTAGAACAATTACTTTCATGTGATTGTTCAACCTTTCTCCCAATAAACATGTTATTTCATAGACTACCACTTAGTAAATTTCATAGGCCTCCTAAATGGTACAATATACTTAAATCTCAATTCTGTCAACCACAAACAAATTTTTTAAACAATATATCAAATTTACCTCACACCAATCCATTCATTTTCCCTTCCTTATACACACCCCCAACTGACATGAGACTATGGTTGCTTGCCAAAACTCCTCTAGAAATCAATCAGCAGAGTTTCAGCAGGTCACACACTAATTGTTTGTTAGAGTTTTGGCAGCAGGGCTGGAAATAGGGTCTGAAAAAAAAATGGAAGTTTCTCCTGGATGCTAAAAATTTTCCAGAAGAAATTTTTTTTACTTTATTCTTCTGTTTTTACTTTGAAAAATTTTACTAAGAGCATCACTAAAATCATAACCAAATAAATCAGTACTGTGAGATTGTAAATAAGGACTGAGGAAGTCCCGAGAATGTCGATCAATCGGAACCAATCTACTGCAGTGGTCACGTGATAATGACATCATTTTATATTTTTATCTTAATATTTTGTGTAACAACTACGCCACATACTGCGTCATGTTACACATTACATCATTTCTATTTTTAACTTATTTTATGACATAATTATTTACTTTTAATTATTAATTCAATTATTTGTAATAGTGACTCATAGGATTAGTCATTATGAGTCATAGCATTAGTAATTAATGATTAGTAAGCTAGTATTACAGAAAATAGGATTAATAAGCATATATTATTGGACAAAATATTGTAAAGGTCATGTTATTTGTAATACCTCAAGAGGTATAAATAGGCTTGGTTTTAGACCAAGTGAGAATCATCATGTTCATGATACAATAATAATAATAATATAATAATAACCTTGTGACAGAAATATTATCGTTAATAAAGACACATAACACTTTTACAATAAATAATTGAACTTCTAATAAAATCCTTAATAAACCTTTGCTGAAAAGCATACCCCACCTTAAATTAAGACCATACTAACTAAGGGACGCCTTAGTCAGACAGTGGAATATTTATTGATTATTTTTAGGCTTTGCCAGCAGTACTCCCGTTAGTACTGTAGAGAGAGATTGCGCAATAGAGAGGCTCTGAGCTGTGTGCCATAATCAGAGGTCGGAATTGAGAACCCTGAGCTGTGTGCCGTAACAGGGAGATTTATATATTGGACTTTCTATTTTATTTTACCTTATATATTGATTGGACACAACCCAAGCTGTAATTGAATTTACATGCTCGCAATACCTTCTAAACCAACCATCATTAATATGTGCAATGTGTTATTTTCCATTACATTACATTTGATAATATTCTGTTTGCTAAAACCTTTTTCACAATCTACACTAGAAAATTGAATTGAGTGCACTATTTCTATAAGTTTTAAGATATAAATAAGACTTGGAAGTTTGGAAATTGGAATATTTTTTTTT